TTAATTAATTATTTCCTGGATTTTGTATCACCATAGTCCCTAAATGTATGTACATGCAGGAAATGGGATTCAAATCGAAAACATTTTCCCCCATTTTGTGTCCCCCCCACTTCTCAAACCAAAGTTACACCCTTGTATATATATATATATATGCTAAGTTTGGAATTAAAACAGGATATTATGATGCCATTAATGTTGTATAAAGGGGCGGAAAAATGACCCGAAAGAGCATATATATAAAGAACAGTTAAAGTCAACTAACTCAAAATTTAGAGCATTATATATCAATGTTTTGACAATCATTTTAAACATATTTTATTATCAAATATGTATTGTAATAATTATTATTACAATACATATATTAATAATTATTATACAGTGACCAACGAATGTATGATCATTTTTTATTGCATTAAACAGTAAAATATCACACAGTTAAATTCAAGAGATGTTTCATGACCACCAGAGTGAAATCAAATACTACTGCACTTTCATGACATTTCTGGCACTGTTGATGTGACCTCAGAACTCGACCACATCACAGGAGCTTTGAAGCTTCCAGCAGAGTGTGTGTGTGTGTGTGTGTGTGTGTGTGTGTGTGTGTGTGTGTGTGTGTGCGTGCTTGTGTTGGAGGATGAAGGGGTTTAATATCCCATTGAGACATGCTGGACACCAACTCTTCCTCGCTGAAACAACATTTGAGCTCTACACAACAAACCAAATGTACTCTTGAGGTAAAATTACAGCTATACTCATCATCTACCAGACCTAATTATTCATTCATTAGATAGTACAAGTAATATATGTTATGCTCAGGTTCATATAAGCATGTTTTTCAAAGTGTAAGTCTACGCTGATCTAGCCGTGATGGACGTATACTGCAGCAATAATGTTCTTCATGCCAGGAGAGCCGTGGAGCAGCTCAGACTAGAGACAGAACTACAGAGAATCAAGGTGAGATGCATTCATTATAACAAAAACACTTCTTGCATTATAGAGTGTATCTTTTGAGTTGTTTATCATTTCATTTGTGTGTATGGCTGAAAATGAAAAAAAGCGGGGGAAAGGAAACAAAGAAACTTGACTTCCAAGCACAATAATATAATATAATGTAATATAATATAATAATATACACTGTTTAAAAAATTCATGAAATATATATATATTTTTTTTATTATTAATTTTTTTTATTGAAAGAAAGATTTTGAAGATAGATTTGCAATCTTACATTTTTCATCTCTTTTAAATGTACAAAGAATACAATCAAAATTATAAGAGAGAGAAAAGAAAAAAACCATCGCAAACAATCCCTTACCAGACCTATTTTACATTAAATTGTAAAGTCTGATGAAGAAATATTAAAACATTACATTAACAAATGATGCATTAGTTCATAGGGTTCCCATCAAGATAACAGAGAAAAGGGTGCCAGATTTTGTCAAACTGTTCAAATTTGACCTTCAAACATTCGTTCCAAATGTAAAGTCGAATTCAAAAACTGTAAATTTAACGTTATTTTACTGTAAAAGTACATTTAATGTCCCGTTAGATTTGCAGTTTTTACTGTAAAACAGTTGGTGTCACTGAGGCGTTATTATTGAAAGTAACGCCTCAGTGACGGTATCTTTTAAGTAAGACCTAAGTGTAGGCTACATAGTAACTAATACGTACACTGCAGGTCTTAATGTGCGCTTTTGAAGTACTAAAATGTACCATTTAGTGGTACACATTAGCTTTTGTACCTCAGGACACCTACCAGTGGTGGCAGCTTTATAACTTTTTTTCTGAGTGTATAGGAACGTATTGCGTTAACTAAATAACAGGTTTTCACCATAGCACTGTCTCGTTAAATTACGGTTTTGACAGCGTAATATATGTCTATCATATATGTTGGCTGTCTGTCTGTGTGTGTGTACCTGTTTTTCTATTCTGGTGGGGACTTAAACCTGAATACACACAGACTCATGGGGACTCGTGTCACGGTGGGGACCTAAATTGAGGTCCCCACGGGTAAACAAGCTAATAAATCACACAGAATGAAGTTTTTTGAAAATCTAAAAATGCAGAAAGTTTCCTGTGAGGGGTAGGTTTAGGGGTAGGGTTGGTGTAGGGCAATAGAATATACGGTCTGTACAGTAGAAAACCGTTACGCCTATGGAGAGTC